CCAGTCACATAAATGACTGGTGAGGGAAGAAGCTAAGGTGCAGAAACCAAAGGGAACACGAATCACCAACTACTTCTGCACACTGAAATTCCATTTATCAAAAGAGAAATCAAATGGAGTGACGCTGTTCTTCGTCTTGTGAATTATGGACTCCCATTTCCACCACAGCAGTATTTACCATCAGCACATTCAACAACATAATTATGTTTATTATGATAATGCAAATCACTCGATTCTCTTCATCAGCATTATGTTCTCTCAGCGCGCCAGCAAGAGCCGAAGCGTTAATGAACCAACACTTGCTCACAAACATGCAACACGAGGATTGAACGAGTACCACCACCATCAAAGAGGCTTGTAATCTTTTCATAGCTACGCTTCAATAAATTCTGCGTTCAAAGCCCAGACCCTATAAAAGTTTACATCTGAAACTACACGTATAAATCATCCAAGGATCATATATGAAGAATTAGAGCAGATAGGAGATTTTAATTGCCCATATACAGAACATATTTCTTTGATGCACCATGTTATGCTAAATGCTTTTACCTTCTCCTCTCCTTCGCTCTCATTTGATTACAGAGAGCACCCTTCAGACAACAGCCATAAATATATATATTTTTTTATCCCACAGAAACAAAAGCGCAGAAGAGCTCTCAGTGCCTGTTCCCTGCATGCTCTCATCCTGGCACTTCACTTTACCCATTATGCACTCATTTTCCCTGCAAAACAAGAGCTTGGCCGACCTGCACGCCGCCAGCCCTCTTCTGCCTCAGAAGCACGACATCAGACATGTCAGAAAGTGAGGAGAAACTTCTAAGCAGACAGAGGAATCGAGAGAGCGACTCTTTTCTCTTTACCTGCAGCCTTATTTTCACATCAGTCGCCACTGCACACTGCACACAGGAGAGCTTGTGTTGACATACTGAAATGGGAGAAGATCTAACGTGTGGCTGATTATTCCTTCATAGCAGTACATTTCTCCATGTCTGTTTCTCTTTTTTTCACTAGTTTTTATCTCAGGTCACAATAAACATTTACCCTAGAGTACAATTGTTACTGCCAATTAGACCTGGCTCTATATATATACTTATTTAAGCTGCACTTAAATGGGGTTGGTAAGATTTTTTTTTTTTTTTTTAAAGGATTTAGTTGATGTAAAACTCAGAACTATTATTACAGTTTCCCATTTTAAAATATTTCAGTATTCCTGGGATGGCAAAGTTGAATTTTCAGCACCATTGTTACAGTCTTCAGTGTCACACGATTCTTCAGAAATCATTCTAATATGCTGATTTGCTGCTAAAGAAACTTCTTATTATCAATGAAAATTCTTAAATTCTTTTCAATAATCTTCTTATTATTATTGAAAATAGCTGATGAATAAGAAGTTTAAAAGAACAGCATTTATTTGAAATAGAAATATTTTGAAACATTATAGATGTCCTTACTGTCAATTTTGCTCAATTTATTGTGTCCTCCTTGCTGAATGCATTTCATTTTCTTCTATAATCTTACTAACCCCAAACTTTCGAAAAGGTAGTGTATCTCACTGTATTCAAGCTATTTTACAATATTCAATATAAATACCAATATATGTATTTGCTATTGCCAAGTAGATTCAGTGTACACCGCCGTCGGTGTATGAATGAGTGAGTGAATGGGTGAATGTGAGGCAAAATGTAAAGCGCTTTGGTGGCCATTGGGTCTGTGAAAGCGCTATATAAATGCAGTCCATTTACCATTCAAAATGTTTAAATGTAAGAGCTACAACAGTAAAACTCGAGATAATATAAATCAAGGCATGTTTTCAATTAATGAATAAAATAAAGAATATGAAATCAATATATGCATTTATATACATTTATGTAAAATCACGAGACACTGCAACATTGGCAATAAGTTGCAACAGAGATTTTCTGTAGTAAGCTGATTTGAAGGGTCAGAGCATCATTCGTACAATTTAATTATTTGCATTATTAGAATAATGTATTATTTGCAGGTCCTAATAAAGTTAGACTAACTGGAGTGTTAATTTTGGACCCTGGTTTATTATCTTTCCCAACCATCTGTCTAGACTCTCAGCCTATTTATTGGTCAATGCATACCCCTTGCACCACTACATCTAAACTGATGTTGAAGCTCTCGTCTACTAAATCAGGGAAGCTCAAATTCTCAACTCTTTTTCCTTCTCACAACCATCTCACATTCTCTCTCTTACACTCCGTTAAGGGAATTCTCGCTCTCTCTCTCTCTCTGCTTTTTAGCTCTGGCATATAGATAGACAATAACATAGCCCAAGTTCTCTGCATCTCCTGTCCCTCTCCCTTCATCAGTATGGATCCTCATCCCTCTTAAGTGGAAACATTCTTCCAACATCACAGGATGTCCACGTAAGTCTTTGAAGCTGAGAGCCAAACACTTTTCTAAAGGTAGCTAATGGAAGAACATGCTTATCAGAGTGATCCAGTTCTCTTTTGATACAGCCAAGACCCTGTGGCTGGATGGAAGAACAAAGAATTCGCCCAGGCAAGGCGCATCGAACCAATGAGCTGGCAGAGTGTGGGTATAACTGGATGATTATAGCGTGTGGTTTGTGGACTAGTCGACTCCTTGGAGCATCTCTATGTATATACACATCTAGACTGTAAGATCTTGATCTGAGACCCTCAGAGACCTCGGTTAACCTTGCAGCTCAAAACCAGATAACTGTTTAGACTCACATGTCTGGATTGACAGCATGTGTTGTGCCTGTGAGATGTTTAGACAGATGTGAGGCTAGCGGCTCAACCGTGACTAGGCACAGAAAGCTGATATCAATATTTGTTCAATTATACATCCACAAGCAAATAATTTCCATACAGCCTCAAAGGTAAATGTTTCTGTCCGCAGCATCTCAGACAATTTCACAATTCTGCGATATATCAACACACGCAGGTACACACTTCAGAAAAACACAGCGGCAGAGTGGTAGGGCCCTATTTTAACGATCTAAGCGCATGGTCTAAAGCACCCGGCTCAAGTGCACCTAGGGCGTGTCCGAATCCACTTTTGCTAGTTTAGCGACGGGAAAAATGGTCGGCACGGCCAGCACATGGTCTAAAAGGGTTGTCCCTATTCTCTTAAAGGTGGGGTATGTGATTTTCTTTTTTGACCATTTTTTCAAAATCACTTGAAATCCTATTCCTAACCCACTTACAGCCACTGAGTGAGAAGCACTGAAATGAAAATTAAGCAATTTAATCATCTGTGGAACGGGCAGGACTCGAAAAACTCAGCCAATCATTTCCAAGACCACCTAAAATCATTGGACAGAAAATGCGTCAATCAAACGGTCGTACCATACCCCCCTCCCCCACCCCCCTCACGCGCGTGTCCCCTTCGTGCGCATACTCAAAGCTCGTGACCCAGTCAGAGTAAGTGCAAGTCGCCCCAGTACAGAGAGAGAGAGTAAGTGCAATCTCGCACATCTGAGTTTTGCAGATTCATGATTGCGCGTCCATGTTCTTCGAATGGGTGGAGTCAGGGCCAGCGTTGGAGGAAAGAAGGTAGTCTGACCTTTTAAGTTGTGTATTTTCAAAATCTGCCAGCCGTTTTGTAAATCCCATACCCTACCTTTAAGGAGTAATGGGTGTGTTTTGGGAGTAACGAGCAAAAAACCAATCAGAGTCTCATCTCCCATTCCCTTTAAAAGCCAGTTGCACTTGCACCGTCGCGGGTTCCTATTTACATAGCGGAATTAGTAAGTGGAAAAACTGAACGCTTCTTCAGAGAGGAAACGGATCTGCTCGTGCCCGAAGTTAAAGCGTGTAAGCAGACCATCTACGGGACAAGCCGGATTCTACCATATCTTTATGTACACAATAATAATAATAATAATAATAATAATAATTCATTACATTTATATAGCGCTTTTCTAGGCACTCAAAGAGTGAGAGAGAGAGTGTAGTTATTACCCTGTGTGTAATAAGCAGAGTGTACGCGCATTGTGCACCCGCCTATAGGCACATATTACTAATGCGCCCTTTAAATAACAATAAAAAAAATCTGCCATTGACTTTAGACCAGGTTTTTGTTGGTCAATGGTGCAGTCTATTAGCCTGGGAAAACCCAGAAAACTTCCGGCAAATTTAGATTTGCTCTGAAAGTTAGTCTGGCAAAGAGCTCATTCAAGCCCATTTCCAATCCGTCGAAATCGCGGCACCAATCAGTAGCTTTGGGCCGGGCTTTACACGATGACGACAGCGCTGGGATTTTGAAGCAGATTTTGTAGCCTACATTACAAAGATGGATGCCGCTGTCGAACATCACTCGTTTGAATCAGCTATCGCGTCTGTTTTAAGCGGTTTGAACGTTTCCTTTTAGTTAAAAACCGAGCAAAGAACAACACTCGGAGATGTTTCTCCGCCGCTCTGCATACGTCATCTCCTTCATCGCTCTGATTGGGTTTAAGTCTATCCGCGACTTCCGTTGGTGACGCCCCTCTGGAAATGATTTGTCTATGACGCTTTGCCAGACCATAACTCAGTTACAACTGAGAATGGTCTGGTTTTAACCAGGCTAGCAGTCTATTTCAGATGCCTCAAAATAGCAACGCGCAAACAATGCACCCATACACACCTCGTTTTCAGACCAGCACGCCCATGGGCGCACAAATAGCCCCGTAATGTATGTGTGTATTGGACGTCTTTGTGGTAATCAGTGTTCGATTTATACAGAGCCGATCCAAGCAAAGTTTCCATTACATAGAAGCCTATGGAGGAGTGAGACAGCTCTCAGATTTAATAAAAAATATCTTAATTTGTGTTCCGAAGATGAACGAAAGTCTTATGGGGTTAGAACAACATGAGGGTGAGTAATTACTGACAGAATTTTCATTTTTGGGCGAACTGACCCTTTAAGTTTAAAATAAATAAATACTCATATTTTTTTCTCTCTGAAAGCATTGCTGAGGGGAGATGTGTGAGTGCTCAGCTGTTGAATGTAGGATGTTAACCTACCTCCAGTCTTCCCGTGTCAGGCTGGAAGCCACGTGCTGGGTCCTCTGTGGTCACACGGCACTGGATGGCATAGCCATTGATCCGTATCTTATCCTGTTTCAGACCCAGCTCGTGCAGACTGCGACCTTCACACACTCTCAACTGAGCGTGTACCAGATCCACACTGGATGAAAGCGAGAGAGAGAGAGAAACAGAGACAGTGGTTATATTGCATTCGCTAAACAACAAAAACACACCCTGCCACAGGCCACATACAGCCACAACGATTACATCCAACACTGAAACTATCACTACAGAAAAGTGCACGTTATCAGGCCAGACCTGTTCAGCGATCTGGAATCACAACAGATTCACTCAAACCATTCTCAGTTGCTTGACATTCCAGCAGGTGCAACACGGCGAGACAATATTCACACTGGTGAGGCGAGAACGTGCAAGATGCCTGCTTGCTCCAATAACTTCTATTAGACAGGCTTGACAACTAGCAATCCGCTTCACAACACTGCACTCGCTTGACAAGGAGTGGGATGAGTGGATTGTAGAAGGAAACAAGCGAGTCACTCAACGACATACAAACAGGAAATGCCTGCTAGATTCAGGGCTAACAGTTAGCGCCTGATCCACTCCGGCCTCAATAACTTCACAATTAAATCACTCCCTCAGCTCAATTGAATGAACCAGGCTTTTCCAGGGCTGATTGGCTACATTTGGCTGAATCTGCCATCTTATTGGATAAGTGCTTTCCTCAGTGAAAAGTTGGATTTATTAAGAGCCATATAAATCACAGTGATATATTTACTCACCCTAGATTCACTGAACTCATTCCTCATGTCTCACAAATCCTCATATATCGGGTCAATTTTCTTCTTACAGGCGCAAAGAGAAGGGGTGAACCAGGGTTGACTAATTGGGGAAAAGATGCATGTGTAGGGAATGGAAGCTTGTCAGAGTTGCGAACCCGCAGCCTTTTGTTTGAAATCAATGTCAACATGTAAGCTACAAGGTATTTATTCCTAATTACTAATGCTTTCTTTCACCATATCAGAAGGGATAAAAGGCATTCAAACAGCTTCAAGGCTAAACCTTCATGATCATCCTCTTTATGTTGAATGAATAATCAAATTCCAAAGTGCTAGTGTGTGTGCCCAAGACAAAAACTGTGAAAGCACCCAGTGGGTCACGAAATATTTTTAACCAATAAAAGAAGAGCGAGTATTTGCTTTCATGTTTGTGCATCAATAATTTATGCTACAAAGTGTCTGCCTTTTTTTTATCTCTGGCACAAAGGCATTTTTAAAATGTAAGATTTCTCGAAGTCCAACATATACAAATCGCACAGCATGCTTTTGATAACACTACGGCAATATATTTATATGCACAAACACACATGGTGGTGGCAAAGGCAATATGTTTGCACAGCTCTCAACATTATCTGGCTAGGCCTCATTAATTTTTTAACAATGGTACAAACAGGCTCTGAATATTGCACGCATATGTCTTTATGACACTGGCGTCTAATGATAACATCTCTCACATGAACTCTGGTCATAACAGCTGCAAGCTGAAATAATTACCAAATGAAACATCAAAATCAGCTTAATGGATTATCTCTATTATTTTCTTTGTGTAAATACTTCAGCAGATCAATGTGCAATAGTTAAAATTACATTTATCAGAGGAAACATTTGGGGTCTGAGTGGCAAACAAAAAGGTTGCAAGTTGAAACCAAACTAGGTGAAAACATTCGGCTTTTTCATGGACCCTGCATTTACTGAACTGACAGGGTAAATCACTGTGGATGAGCTAAAATGATTCCAACATTAAATGTTTTAGTGCTAATATAGCGTTACAAAGAACAGCTTTTAATGTTAGTTAATCTTTTAGAAATAAAAGGGATTCTTGATTACTTCTTTTTGGATTCAGAAGTCTTTATGTATTATATGCAACCTCTATACTCACAAAATGTGTTTTTCCTTATTTGCCTGTCACACGATGTCAACACAATCTAAAATCAAATATTTATTATAAACTTGAGAAATCTAGCACTGAATTTATATTAAGAATGAATTGAGAATACAGAATGGGATTCATCTGTTTTTGACTAAAAAAATACAGTATACAGCTTTGAAACCTTTCAAAATTAATCTTTGTTCCGTCTTTCTTTTGAAGATACACACACACTTAAGCAAATCAGACGTCAACAGTAACACTCGAGTGGATTCAGTGAATGATTCGAAAGAATCAGTCATCGAACAGTCAAACAGAAAGATTTGAAGTCAGCAATGATGTCATGGTGACTTTAAGCAGATTTTGTGTGAGTTTGTGATTCTTCTTATAAACAATCAGCTTATAAAAGTTGTATATTCACTGTGTTGTCTAAAGACTGTATGATCAGTGTAGTATAATCCATTTAGTAGTTTGGCTTTTCAGTGCTGGACAGGAAGAGTAATCTGCAGCAGTGAAAACAGATTCTGGGATTCAATGTACTCATAAAAACACAGCTATAAGGGGCCGCTGACCCAGTCTCAAGGGCACAATGTTCACTTCCACGCTCCCTTACCTCTCTCACTCAAGCTTCTCCTGATTATATGCTATCCCATAGCAATCCAAGTCCGAAAAGCTACAATCACTTCCATAATAATGTGAAACAATAACTTAAAAGGATTACTGCAATATGATATGAACAAGCTTTGATTCAGATGCAGACATGCATCGCCTACCAAACTCCCCAAAATACACAATATTCTGAATATCCTGAGAAAGCAGACCGTTTCAACATCTCCCATAGATTTAGAAGAGAATTTCATATATGTTTTATAACTAACCGGTTTTAAAAGCATCAGAATGAGATGAAAATTTACTAATAATGGTGTTTTTAGCAATGACTCATCTATGACTCTTATTTCCCTGGAATGCCTTAAAATCCCAGGCAACAGTGCATTATGTGGGATAATACAATAGACTGTGGCTGATAAATGAACCATTTCTTAAAAGTGTGTAATCAGCATCTCCAATCTTCAACTGAAATGCAATCTGATCTGTTATCTAAGCAGAAAAGTTGAATAGTGTTTGTGGCTAGGACTGGTCCGTATTATTAATGTAAACACAGTCGGTTAGGTCTCAATTGAAAGTAAACAGTTGGGTGTAAACCGGATGTGTATCAGTATAACAGATCCGTGAATTCATTCACACTTAAAGTGACAGCAGGTACAATAGGTTAATTTTACGTTATATTGTATTTGCCTATTGTTTGTAATTTGCTTCTTTGTAATTATTTTTAACAATTAAAATAAAATAAAAATAACTATACTGTGAGTTTTTTTTATTGTTTTTCCCAATAGAAATCACATTTACCAATCCCCCAACCCTTACAACGAATCCCTAGAGTAGTGTCCATGCTGTCCATTAATTCAGCATACATCTATACATGCCTAAATACACCAACCTTCAACCAAATATAAAAACAGATATATGTACACACACTCTGAAAAAAATACAGCCAATAATAGGGCATTATTTTAAATGATCAACAAAGTCAATGAAAGGGAGCCAAAGTTTTTCCCCGATCCTCTTAACGAATAACTAATCTTTTCGAGGCAGAGACAAGGCATCATATCTCTAATCCATTGAGTATGAGCAGGCAGGATGGGATCTTTCCACTTTAGTAGTATCGCTCTATGTGCTAACAAGGAAGAGAAGGCAAGGACTTTACACACTGATGCTGACAGCCATGACTGCTCTGAAGCTCTGAAGTAATACCACCAGAGGTTCTGGCTCTAATCTGTACTGAAGAACCGCCTAAAGGGTATGAAATATCGATCGCCAGTAACACTCTAATTTGGGGCATGTCCAGAACATGTGAATTAATGATCCCTCAGCACATTGACATCTATTGCACATGGGGCTAGTTCCATTGAACATTTGAGCTATTTTAACTTTGGATATACAGTTCAAAGTAGTACACAGAGCTCATATAAGTGAATGCCGAGCACACATTGACGATGAGTGGACCCGTTTAAGAACGCAGTTTCATGTGTCTTTCAGAGAGTGGTCTGTCAAGGTCTTCCTCCCAAGCTCTCTTAATGTTATCTAGAGAGGAAGATGTCAGATTGGTCATTAAATTGTAAATAATGGAAATTGAGCCCTTAGCTAGTATATTACATGAAAGGAAACTATCCAAAGGATTTTCAGGAGGATATTTTTATAGTGAAATAAAATCTCTCATATTGTGAAATAATTTGGTCATATCACCCATCCCTAGTTGTGGCACAAGGAATGTCTCTCTCATACGTGTCAATGTATGCAACTTCATAATGCTGAAATAAGCATTAATGGATAGTTCACCCAACAATGAAAATTGTGTCATTTACTCATCCTCAAGTTGTTCCAAACCTGTATGAATTTCTTTCTTCTGCTAAAGACAGAAGATACTTTGAAGAATGTGGGTAACCAAACAGTTGACGGTAGCCATTGACTGCCAGTGCCATAGTATTAAAAAATACTATGGCAGTAAATGGCTACCGTCAACTGTTTGGCTAAGAAAACAATGACAGAATTAAAATTTTGGGGTGAACTATCCCTTTAATGTGATTTACACAAGTTGGACAAGTATCAGCTGGATCTATATATATTTTTTCCTCTCAGTTTTCTTCCTTTTCCTCAGCCCGGGTTGGGACCATGATTGTTTGTTAGGTCTGTTGTTCGAGGATCAAGGATGTTGACTCAGAAACATGTACCACGTGAATAAATCACAGTGCTGGTCAATAACTTCTGAAAAGGTGAAACTCACATTTACAAGCAAAAAAACACCACCATCACATACTTTCTACCCCTAAACTGCCATTGTGTACCCTTTAATTCTCCAGATGGCAGAGCATTTCAGCAGTCAACAGTCAGACAGATGAGAAAGAGTGAGCGAGTGCAGAAAAGAGACACAAAAATTGAAGACTGGGAGCATTAGACAGAGGAAACAAGAGAGCAGAGAGAAAAAGGAGGACAGCAGAACAGAGCCGACTGCAGCAAACAGCAAGAGAGCTGCTCAGTGATGAGGTGGGGGAGCCATGTTAATATATTCAGTCTGATTCTTTATTCCATTTTAATTGCCAAAGCCAGGCAGCAGCATATGCAGAAATGATGTGGGAGTGGAGTAATCCCAGTCAGTCA